AGGAGGCAAAGAAACCACTAAAATGTACTGCAGAGCTCCTGAATAGTCACTGCTTCCTATTACAAGCTGCTCTTCTAGCAGAGGTGAGCCAACTAGAGCTAGAGCATTAACTCTGCCCTGGTTAGATGCCAGACTACGTTGTGTTAAAGTAGCATACCCAAAAGAGTACTTTTCTTTCCCAGAGTAGTACAAGAAAGTGAAAGAGAAGAATCAGGGTCCTAAGCATCTCTGATGATGTGATTCTCAGCCTGTTGGTGAGAATATTAGCTACATACTCCAATTGTGTAGGTTGTGTCAGGGTCAGAACTGTCTTTTGCTTCTTGGAAAAAAAAATCAGAAACTGAGATGGAAAGAGACTTTTGTTAACAGTAGCAGAAATTTTCCCATGGTGGCATCTGGTTCATGATTTTTTAGCAAAGTAAACTGTGCTCTGCACAGTTGGCTATGTTGATCTAAGGCCTCCAGGGATTTGACCTGTCACCAGCAGAGAAGGCTATCATTTTTATGAAGTATTTCAGCTACCTCTGTCCTTCAGTCTGTTCCACCTCTCACTGTGGCATGGCCATTGCATCTCTTCTGTCCTTTCACTAGGAGTAATGATGAGGATGGGATGGGTCACTAAAGCAGCTCTTTACTGACTATAAATGTGTATACAGGGAAAACTATTTCTGTTAAGATCCTTTCCGGAACCATACAAACCCAGATGTTACAATGGCAGAGAAACATATGCTATTGAGGAATGACACAGCACTGTGGATTATCATCATATGTTTTCCCACTAGTACTCTCAAAAAGAAAGATATTAAATGCTGAAATACAAGAGCGAGCTCAATGGAGAATTAGGATATTATTGGCATATGGCTCTATAGTCACTATACTATGGAATGGAAGGATGCAGGGATGTAAGCGCAAGTGGCTAAGGAAAAAAATAACAAAATTTCCTAGATGAATTATAGTAATTTCTTGTCTGGTTCTCCCACCATCATTGGGCGATCCAAAATTGTTTCCATCATTTTAGCTTCAGAGTGGTTATTTAATTGTGGAAGAGTCTCAAAATAGACCATCCTGACAGGATGCTTCAGCTGATAGACATGGCTGAGGACATATTCAGTTTCCTAAAGTAAAATCTCAACCATTTAAACTTTGACTGGAAAGTTTGAATACATCTTAGGACACACAATATAAAAAAAACCCCAAATCTATTATTTTCAACTTCTTCTGCAGTATTTTAAAATATATTTGCTACATTTTCTGAATATTTTTAAGTCTCCAGTCAGGATCAGTAACAGGCACTACTGCAAAAGATATCAAAACAGCCCTGAATTCACTGACTGAACTCCCAGTGCTGCAAGGCTGTTTGTACAGGCAGACATTTGTGCTAGCAGTAAGATTCTTGCAGGACTGTGTCCTTAGACAAGAAGTAATATATCAAATAAAAGAAAAGGAACCAGTGAAACATAAATGGTCTTGCTATACATTTGTTTCTATTGTTGCTATAGATGAGGATGTTCGTAGCATCTAAAGGACTACATTTTTGGCTTCAGCACAACAAGCTGTTTTATGTGTGAGCTGTATGTAATTATATTGAAAACAAACTTTGCTTCAAGAACATTTTTGGCTCCAATGTGCAATAACACAAAGGGCCTTTGTTCGGCTCTCAGCAGAGTTATTTATGGATTGCAAAGGACTTACTAAAGGACAGTTTCATCTGATGGTATTCATCCATGGACTCAAATTTAAATGTAGTTACTTATATTCATATTAATCAAAATTACTTATATGATCAACCAGACAAAGATTTCTGAAACTAGAAATGGGATTGCTCTACAGATTCAGACCTGGAACAGCAATATGGAGTGGTTTTCAGATCCAAAGCTTTGAATGAGCCAGAATGGAAAACAACAAAAGGCTTTGCATAATTCACATCAATTATAATCATCTTCACTTGAATTGAAAATGAGGCTCTTGGTCTCTTAAATGGAAAAAAAAAGAATCACAGGGAGCAGAGGGAGCTAACTGTCTATTGGGAAAAAGGAATCCCAGGGCAAAGTGGGCTTCAGCCAGAAGATCCTATAGGACCTTAAGAAACTAGGCAAGGGCACTGTGCTTTCCTCTGACTTGCCTAAACAGCCATTACATTGAAAGATTACTTTCAGAAATCTGCTTTCTTCAGATTTTTCCTGCCTGGCCTGTGGGACTTGGGAAGCATCCAATGACAACTTTCTGTTCTACTTCAAACTCAGTGTGACCATGGACAAGCTCCTTAGGGCCATAGTCAGACCACTTGCTGTCAGTGCAAACCTTTGGTTTTGCAACTGCTGTGGCATCTAGGTTTAAGAGTGTGCCACTCAGCAATTCAGAATACTGTTTTTACAAGACTGGAAGATCCAGGTTCCAGTGGCACCAGTGGAGGAAGTGTTTATAGTGAAGTAAACTTACATGAGCCTGTATGAATGTAGCCCCTGTTCATTCTTTTGCTTTGGCCTCCCAGATGTTGAATAGATGGTCAGTAGTTTTTTACCTCACTGGTTTCCTGTAAAATTAAAGACTTTAAAAGAATGTGGAGCACTGAGGCATTGCAAGAGAGGAGGTTATATAAATGGAATCTAATTATATAAGCCTCTTCGGATAAATTGCACTTTCATTTCCATAGCCTTCTGCTACGTACTTGTTGTAAATAGATGTTATTCGAGATGATGAATCCCAGTCTTATTTTCTTTTCTCAGTGAAGAATTTTGTTTGGGTCATGCAAACTGCAGTTTGGATTGATTCAATCCAAAATTGCGAACACTGAATGCTTCTAAACACTGAGGCCAGTTTTCTGAATTTCAAAATTTCTTTGCTATAGCATTTCCATCCTTGACATTTCCAGGATCCACTGGGACCTATTGCTAGCATCTAACTCGAAGTTCGTTGTCACTCTACAGGAAATGACAACAGACACTGGATGGAAGGACCAAATTGGCATTATCACCAATACCTTGTTTAAAACTATTCATGGGCATCGTGCTGTTCTTTAGGTTTAACCAAATAGTTAACTGTAATAATTAAGTGTTAATTTATTCTGAACCGAATGCACTGTATTCTAAGCAGGTCCTCACTGTTCTGAGTGATCAATTACATTGTTCTGTTGTTTCCTTTAGAAACCACTGAGAGACAACAGGGTTTCATGTGGAAAATATTACTGTCTTTCCTGTGCAAGGAAATCTTGAGCTGTGAGTATTACGCATTTTATTATTTTATAGATTCCATTAATCAGATAGATGAAGATTAAAACAAAAATGTCACCATGTACTTCTCTAAATGAATGTGACTTTTGCTGTTTTTTTTGAAGATTGATGTAGAAAAAAACTTAAGAATGTTCTACCAGATGTGACTGCAAAGGACCGTTTATAGCTATAGATGCCAGTAGGACTGAATTAATGAGTAAGTTTGTCACATGCACAACACACATTTAGGCACTAATTTTAGAAATGAGGCCAGTATATTAGGACAAAAGAATGAAAGAGCTTTGCTTTATTAGAGTTATTGCAGCTAACTAGCTACTAATGGAATAGGCTATGTTACTCAAAAATATCTCTGTGCTTCAGATAAATAACTGTTAACCAGACACCCTTCTAAAATAGATCCTGTTCTAGCCAGACTATTAAGCTGAGCCATGAACAGTAAGACATACCCAATAATGAATGCAATCCATCCTTACTTCTAGAACCTCTGCTTTATTTAGCTACCTTATGTGACTGTCTGTTTGCCTTGATCCTGGCTACTCAGCTGTGCTGCGGGGACTCACACCAGCCCAGAAGTCTGGAGTGAAACACATTGGTCTGTCAGCATTGGATGCTCACCTGTGTGATATGCCAAATTACTAGTAACTGAAGGAAATAGTAATTTAGATCTATGATTTTTCTGCATATATTAGTGAGAACAGAATAGCTAATCAGGTTTGCAGAGGATTTCTGAATGGTTTATGCATGAAGCTTTGGACCAAGGGCCAAATCCTTGTTCAGTCAATTTTCTGCATACATTTTGAAAAGTGCTGGTAATTACTATTTGGACATACTCCTATGTACTTTCTGTCTCCAGCTGAGGACAACTTCTGGACACAGCTTTTTGGGAACACCTTAGGGCATTAAGCTAAATATTATGGTAAAAGTCACAAGTAAAAAATCAAAAGTCTGAGTTCCTACTCTGTTTCACCTTGGGCAGTTCATAACAATTCTGTTCAGCATAAGTAAAGCATAAACTGATTTTAATTCTTTACTTTCTTACTTGTATGCAGCCTTCCTTCCACAGGCTAGCATTACAAGACTGATGAACTATTTTAATTTTCTAATCAAAGGCAACTGTCCTGGCCACCCTCTCACACCTTTGCAATATTCTATATTCCCACATGTGGGAAGAAGCTGATGGGTAAGAGTCATGTGTATCATCTTTATGACACACAAGGATTGCTTCATTTCTAGGCAAACACATCTAATCCACTTTCTGCCCTTTTGTGCTGCTGTATGAGTGTAAGCAGAATGGAGTATGAACAACGTCAAGTCCAAAAAAAAAAGCAGACTGCCTTTCAAGTCAATGGTGCAAATACTAATTATCTTTAAGAGTCCTGTCTGCCTAGCAGAACCAGCAGAACCAGTCACATTAAACACAGGCATAGCAGTATTAAAGTAGGATGGAATAACAATTATTTCTCTGAGACCAGAATTCTCATATCAATAGAAGAATTAGGAAAAACAGTAGAAAGTTTAAAGAACATAGCCTCAATTTGCTGTTCAGTTATGGGGCAGTCTTGCCAGGATAACAGAACAAAACCTGGCAAGGTCTAACTTTGCAGAAAGCAGTGGCTGCAGAGGCCACAGCTTTTCATGCTTATCAAATCTAAATTCTGCCCTGTTGTGTGGTAGATGCAGTGCTGTCTAGCATTTAATATTACACACAGTGCCTCTTTGCGTCTATCCTGTCCCTGTTCCAGCTTTTTTCTCCACTGTCCCGTTCCTTGTAATTTAAAATGTTTGTCTACATTGTATGCCATTTGATTGTTTAAAATAAAAGTGGATCTGGCTATTTTCAAGGAAAAACTTCCATCCAGTCCATTTATTCTGGCAGTAAAATAAGACTGAGACAACTGGAGATTTAATTAGCTTTTACAGTTCTTGTAAAGAAAACACTTCCTTATTAAGTAACAAATACAGGTGTAATTAAGTCTGTTCTGAAATTAAGTAGGAATTAACAGCTGTTCTGATTTCTGTCTGCATACACAGGCCTGAGAAGCCATTTGAGGTTCTCCCTTACCCGGTGCTGTATCCATGCATGGAGCCGCCTGGAGGCAGCATTCACACAGTTTGCTACAGGCCTGTCTTTGGAGAGTACACTTTGCTGAGGTTTCATCATACAGAAAAAAGCTAAGAAGAAATTACATAGTAAGAAATATGATTTTTAAAAAGCCTTTTTCTTCAAAGGATGCATCTTTGATTTTCCATGGAGCTGTAATACTGTGATGCTCCTGAGAAGTGCTTTGTTACAGAAATGTTTGTAGGAAGAGCCAGCAGGATCTTCCAGCATACCAGCTGACATAATTCATACAAACATGCAAGCTTTTCTTCATGGGACTGAAGAACACTGTTACTTGACCTAAATTATTGTAGAGTCTTTTTATTCTTGTTTTTTTTCTTGGATGAAACTGACCTATTTTTTCTTTGTTTGTTTGATTGATTGATTAGAAGTAAAAATTTATAACAGAATTTCCCTCCCACATCACATTTGTCACTTCATCTCTCTCTTCAATTGCACTGAAACAATGACATGCAAATGTTTGCAAATGAATGCTACAAAACACTTTTGAACCACCCAGAGACAACTTGTAATGCTTGTAAAGCTTTGTTTGATGGGTGTTTGCTGTTGCTTTGTTAATTGTCAGATAAGAGTCCTGCTTCTACCTTCCAAACATACATTTCTCAACCTGCTTTGAAATTAATTTCATAGCAACTACTGTCCACCATTATTGCATCAAGTCCTATTATACAAATTTGTTTTTCTTTTCAGATATTCAACTTTACTGGACACAGAAGCTCTGAGGTGAAGTTGACCAAAATATATGGTAAGTCCATCTGCAGATTCCTAATGTTGGGATGTAATTGATTGCTATCTGTCTCAGGAGTTGTACATATAGAGGTATAGTATACACCATTAACAAAATTTAGTATCGTGATTCCATAAAATTTATGACAAATACCATCTCTCTCAATAAAGTGGAACATAAAGGAAAGTTAGTGAAGAATTTTGTAGCAAAGCAAGTTGCTGAAATAATATATTTTATGATAATATTCTCCCCATCCTATTTCAATGGTGTCTATACTTAATGCAGGATTAAATGAGATTAGTTTATATTCAATATTTCATGAAGTCCATAGAGTAGAACAACATAGATATATGAATCCACTTTTTTTATGTCTATATTTAAAAAATGTCACTGAACCTGCTACTGTGTGTATAGAAAAAGAAGGCAAAGTCACAAACTGCTTTAGGAAGAAATTTTGATACCTGAGGATGTCAGATTTGGTAGGATTTTTAGAAAACTTTCTCTTCAAAAGAACAAGGGAAAAAAGTTATGTTTTCTGTAAATTTGGGAGTAACAAAATTCACAGAAAATATAACTTTGTTACTCCCAAATTTCCTTCTTTACAATAACCCTCTCCTTGCATTCCTGTGGTTTACAAATAATCAGGCCAACACCTGAGATTACACAGAGGGTCCTGACATTCAGCCTCATGAGTAACGATTTATTCTTTAGATAGCAAAGACTTTGGGTTTTCACTTCTGGATCTTCACTTCTGCTTGCAGGTAAAAAAAGCATAGAGATAGGAAGAGATCTGATGGAGGTGATCTCTGGATTTATGATGAACTATAGACTCGGAGGCCGCAGGGAAAGGAGGAATGAACAAGGTCTGTTCGACTGAGAGAGAAACAAGGAATGTATGTAAATCTTCAAATGTATGAAAGACTTCAGCAAAGATAAAGTGAAGAAATTCTTCATGTCTCCAATGAGCTGAAAAGAAATAATGGATTTAAATTCCATCAAGGAATATTCAAATTAGGAAAAATGTGTTGAGAATAGTGAAGTAACCAGACTGCCTGGCACTGGCATGGAAGCTCCATCATTAGATCTATTTCCAAACAGGCCTTAGGGTACCAAATACAGGAGCTAACCTTCTAAAGCCCCATTCACTTCCTATCTAAGTTTTCAGATAGGCTTTATAAGGAAACAAATTTCCTAGGACTGTGCTGTCGACCTGTCTTATTTTTTTAATAAGTCCCATAATTAACCATTAGAGGATGGTAAAGGGCCTTGAGGGGAAGCCATATGAGGAGAGACTGAGGTCACTTGGTCTGTTCAGGCTGGAGAAGAGGAGACTGAGGTGAGACCTCATTGCAGTTACAACTTGCTTGTGAAGGGAAGAGGAGGGGCAGACACTGATCTCTTCTCTGTGGTGACCAGTGACAGAACCTGAGGGAATGGCCCAGAGTTATGTCAGGGGAGGTTTGGGTTGGATATTAGAAAAGAGATTCTTCACCCAGAAGGTAGTTGGGCACTAGAACAGGCTCCCCAGGGAAGTGGTCACAGCACCAAGCCTGACAGAGTTCAAGAAGTGTTTGGATAATATTCTTGGACATGTGGTGCGACTCTTGGGAATGGTCCTTTGCAGGTCTGACGCAATGACCCTTCCAACTCACCCATATTCTGTGATTCTGTGAAAGCTGTAACACATCTAACAGTTCCTATATACCTCACTAAGATGTTACACAGAAAGAAATGGGAAATAAAGCTTGGTTGGCTTTGCCGCTTGGTGATTTTTTGGGTTTGGGGTTTTTTTTAAGACAAGGGGTCTTGGATTTTTTTGTTTCGTTTCGTTGGGGGTTTTTTGTTAGTTTGGGGTTCTTTAGTGATCAGTGAAGCACCCTAACAACTTGTTTTCATCCCACTGTCAATTTCTGGATAAGCCCAGCCTGTGATATGAATTAAACAGGGAATATATAGCTTCCTCCTTGGGTCAGATCTCATTTTTAATGTCTTCAAATCACTTCTACATAATTTTCATCATTCTTAGCATGTTAAAATTCATCCTTTTCAAACTGGGTATCTAAACATTCAAATTTCTTATCATCTTAATACCAGGTTCTTCAGTATTCTGTGTTGTGAAGTCATTCACTTCAATACAAATTTTTGCATGTTTTGATGGTTTCAAAAAAATCAGCCCTAGCTGCTTATATAGTTAGTGTGTGATGGTCAAGCTGCATTCTATGCCACAAGTCCCTAAATTGGTAATGATTGTTCAAAACATTTCTTTACCAATTGTAGCCTGTATTTTAAGCCACTTTATCACACATATATCTTTAATGCTGTGTGCATTCTGGTGATGATGAAAGATCTGGCCTTTCTGTTTTACAGATTTTACATTATTCGACTTTCTGCAGAGGTAATGCCCAGATGCATTTAGAAAGGAAAGGAGTTTAATGTAGTGCATATATACTTAGATGGATGCTTTCCAAATAATCTACATTTTAAAATATCTGCTTTCTTGATTTGTCTGCTTTTGGCTTTCAGGCAAAATTTCCAGCTAGTATTTCAATCTGTTACAAGCCTGCGGAAGGGAGATGGCTTTTTCTAAAATCTGTCTGCCATTAACAGTCTGAAAAGAATACCTGAAGTTCCCCATTGAAGTTTTGTATATTTGTTTCCTGAACTGTAGAATACCAGCGTGGACAGAAATAATGGAATAAGCTTATATATAAAACATAGTTGAACTAAAGCTTTCAACTCTGAGAAGGCCTTAATATAGAATGGGTGGGAACTACATTCTAGAGAGAAATCTAAGTTGTGTGGTATTTCACAAAAATAAACTATGGAAATTTGTCCTTTATGGGTTCCAAGTACAGTGGTACCCTTTCTATAAAAAATCTTCTCAACAAAATCAGTGTACAAATGTCGATGGGTTTTCTTAACTTAAGCAGATTGATATTTCCTAACAGGGTTTTCATTTGTTACAGCTAAGATTGTAGAATGAATCAATCAGGCTTTTTTTTTTTTTAAGTAATGGCATGTTCTGCTACTCATATAAACAGGAGTTATATTTTACAAGCCTTCAGGTTTTTTGCTATTTTGAGATAACCACATATTTAAAATGAGATTTCCAGAGATCAGAGGCGTCATTTGAAAATTAGTTTTTTACTGGAGGTGTATTGTTCTGTTTCAGCTCTCATGATTTAAGGTATGAAGATAATACAAAACTACTCCATCATGTTATTTTTAATTTATTTGACTATTTTTTTTAATTGCAGAGTAATTTCTTAAGACTTTTAGTCTCCAGAAGAGGAAATCTTGTGTAGGTGGTACCTTGAGACAAAAGCAGTGAGTTATTTACATGTCATTTTCCTTTCCTAGAAGTTCTTTTAACCTTTCTCCCTGCATATAAGAAATTTCTGCAAGATCTCATTCTCCTTATGTTTTGATTGCTATTACAAGATGTATTTTTCAGTTTCCTTTTATTCTTTTGAAATCAAAAAAGTGTTACAAATAATCGTGTGTCTGAAGTATTGGCAGCTTGTGTGTCCTTGCAGTAGTCCTCAACAAATCTTGAGGTCTGAGGAAGCTCCTACATAATCCCGAACTGAAAACAGACTTGGGAGTTGAAGTCTGTTGATACCTTATTTAGAGATGGCTTTTTCCCTTTGCACATGTGAGTTGAGCCAATTACTACTTTTGAGGTATTTATGTGCCTATCCAATTAATGGCACCTAGCTAACAGAAACTCAATTATTATGAGAATCCAAACTTACTTTTGACTATGTATTCTCTAAACTATTTGTCCAGAGAAAGATTTTATTATCAAAGTTTGACATATTTACTCTGTAATCATATTCTTTCTGCATTTTGTCTCTTTCATTACATTTTAAGTGATAAATCAGTAGGGTACTTGTCTGATTTTCTTGTGAAACATGAAATGGTCTGTAGATTAATCATTCTAACATTTACACAACTTCAGTGGATTAGATCTTCTGTTTCTGGAAGAGCTCCTTCAGCTGTTGTTCAGTCGTTGCTTCTTTCTGTTGCATCAGCTCCCTGGCTCCTTTGGTCACTCCCCAGCCATCTGGCTTTGACATGGAAGGACAATATGGCCTTCCTGAAGCAGGCTTCAGGTTAACCCAGTATTCTTTTCTTGCCCTAAGGAAAGAAAAGGAAATTCAGGGGTTTTTTTTCCCAGCACCTCACAATACTGAAGGAAATGTGGCCTAAATGACCATTGCAAAGGGGTCATCTAACTATATTTAAATACAGAGGAATGAAAGCATGCAATAAAATGATACATGCTTAAAAAGTATCTTTAAGGTATTCTTTCCATCCTTGAAAGGAATACTGTAAGCCACTCACCATTAGAAGCTGATATATAGTACCCTGTCAGTTTTTCATCTTCACTTTCATGAATTATTTTCACAAATTACTTCCACAAGAGCTCCTCTAGTGCTCCTTCACCCATTTCCCTGCTCCAAGATCAGCTTTAATTCTTTAAAATTATTAACACATAGAATGTTTACAGTGATATTTAGACCTCCATATGAGTTAAGCCAGTCTGATGCATTGCGCAATATAAGCCTTTGCAAGAGGTGTGTTGGTGTGCTTTCTGGGTCAGATATACACACCTTGCTCTGACCCAGGGTTTGGTATGCATGCTCAGGCTATCACCCCAGCTACCATGCTTCTCAGAAGCTTCTGGCAAAAATCCTCTTTCAGGAGCCAGCTCCTCAGCTATTGCTCGGATGTGATATGGCTCAAATCCACAGCAGCCTCCAATGAAACGAATTCCTAAGTCATAGGCCTTTCTTGCATATTTTTGAACATCCCATCTGGTTACAATTCTTGGCTCCAGACCTGCAAAGATAGTCATATCTTAATTTTTCACCATGGTCCATTTCAACAGAGTTTTTGTAAGAAATCATGTTGTTGAAACACTTGAACTCTGTTAGCTAAAGTGATTGTAGATGTAGATGTGCCTGTTTGAACTGTCTGACCTAGAATTAATGATGCAAACTTTCAGAAGTCTAGCCTTCTGATTGTGCTGTGTTCTGCTGACCTGTGCTTGTTAGCATTTTTGGCCTTGCAAATAGTATCTTCTGAGACTGATCGCATGCTTGCCATTCTGACAGAGTTCTTAGCTGAAGTTTTGGAGTACTTTCAATGTTATGGCTACGTTCCCTAATTAACAAGCAATACCTGGGAAATCTGATTACCACAAACTAATCTGTGAAAGGAGAAGATATCAGTCTATCTGAATAGGAATAAGCCTGGTCATTATTCCTCAAGAATGCTTATTACATTTTTTTCCATGATCAGCTAACAGCAGCCAATTGTTTCAGCTGGGATCTGTAGCTATTTCTTAGCCCATTCCTTAGTTAGAATCCCAGTCATAAGCATCTTGCTGCCTTAAACCATGTCATTGCCTGTGGAAAGTTCTGTGTGTAGGTAAGTTAGGATGCAATCTTTCGTTTGAGCCCTTCTCTCTGTTGCAGGTTGTGGTGAGCAGAGTGACGGGATAACAGAGCTGAGAGGAAGGACGTGGAAGGAGAGGAATAGAAAGTGAAAAGATAAAGGAAAAGCACACCTCAAAGGGTAGGAGGCACGAGAGCAGCATAACTGGAAAGAAAAGACCAAGGACTGAAGAAGAAACTTTAAGGAATAAAAATATGGGAATGAAAGACTAAAAATCCTCCCACTCGTTAATGCACATCTGCAGGAGATGAACCATCGTGGTTATCATGCAAGCCTGTGCACTGTCTGTGCACTTGAACACTCCACTGGGCAAAGAAGCTGTCGGAAGGTAGTAAGGCTCCAGCAATACAGTAGAGAGGTAGGATTCTTCTCCCTTTATCCTCTCCCAAAAATGCCTAAAATGCAAGAAGATGATACAAAGCAGATCCATTCTAAGTCCACTGTGTAGTTAAGAAATGGGTTCAGAAATTAAAAAGCAGAAGGAAGAAAATTAAATATTCTTAAACAGAAAATTACTGGTCTTAGAAGGAAAGACTGGACAAAGGAAAAGTAGGCGGTCTTAATATCACAAGGAAAACTTAGATTAATCTATCTTAGAAAGCTGTTCAAATAAAAAAAAGCTTGTGTACAATGCTACAGAGCTGACAAAAAGCATCAGAAGGAAAAATTCATGATTTCCTTGTCTCTCATATATCATGAGAACACTAGTGCAAAATTTATACAAATGATCAACAGTAAGAATGCATCATTGTGCACTCAATTTATACTGGTATAAGCAACAAAACTCCAGGGGAACAGTATAGAGTGTCTCCCTGTCTTCTCCACCACCCTGTCACAATCCATGTGACCTGATGAGATGCATCTGAGGGTCCCGAGGGAACTGTCAGATGAAGTGGCTAAGCCGCTAACCGTCATATGTGAAAACTCATGACAGTCTAGTGAAGTTCCCAGTGACTGGAGTAAGGGAAACATAACCCTCATTTAAAAAAAAGGAAAACCCAGAGAACTACAGATGGGTCAGTCTCACCTCAGTGCCCAGCAAAACTCTGAATCAAATCCCATGGAAACTGTGTTAAGGCACATGAAAAATGAGGATCTGATTGGTGGCTGCCAATGTGGCTTCACTGAGGGCAAATCCTGCCTGACAAATTTGGCCTGCTACAATGAGGTTACAGTGCTGGTGGAGAAGGGAAGAGCGACTGATATCACCTTCCTTGACTTCTGCAAAATATTTGATACTGTCCCACACCAAATGCTTTTCTCTAAAATGGAAAGACACCTCCCCAAAATTGACTAACATTCTGTTTTCCATGCCTGTCAATCCATTTATTTTCTTGGCTTTATTCAGAATTAAATATCTATAACTTAACTTTACGTTAAAATTTATAGTAAAAAGAGATTTAAATTTTCATCAGTTTTTGATGAAAAGTTTGTAACCTGTTCCTAGATTTGCCCCCTCTATATATCTACTTTTGAGATAATTGGGTGCTTTCACTGCTTTCACTGGGACATTTCTTTCTAAAATATTGTCCTTATTTAACTGGTGACATTTCAGAGAAATTCTAGTAACACAGAAGGGAAAACACAGGAAAATGGATAAAGTTCTACAGAAAAATAAATACTGCTGGCATCTAGATGCTGGAGTTTGCCAATACAACATGGCTAATGCTTTCCTAGATACTGAGATATTATTGGCCAGTACAGAGCTTATGTACTCTTCAGATATCTAAATACCTCTTTGTCCATATTGCCTTTCACAAAAACAGTTAATTTGGTCAGGTTAACAATGATTTACCAAACAGCTTATCTGCTATTAAGTGATTCGTTGCTACTTCTGGGTATTGAAAACATTCACAAAATGAGTCTTCACCAATTATTCACGAAATTTCTGAATGCTGAGATCTCATACAGATTGCTTAAAACATACAATCCAAGAGTGAATCTTTCAGTTCACTTGATTGCTTACTGCATCTGTTCGATCTTTTTTTGCTTGCAATCAGAGGAGTTATATGAAGGAATGAATAGGATAAATGGTTCCTAACACTTTTAAACATCTCAGAATATTTTCAGAACTCAGACATGTTATTACCATTTAATGAGTGCCTCAGGCTTACTATTCTCTTTCCGTCATTTATGTAAAGAAAGAAATTTAAAGAAAAAACAATGAACTTCCTAAAAATCACATCCATCTCTTAATTTTTTTCTACAAATTCAAGTTGTGAATGTTTAATACCATACAGTTTGATCTTGAAAAGAAAGGTGTACGTTATCTGAAAATGAAAGAATTTTTCTAATCAACCTTAAAATGTGTAAGCTGATTCTGTCTCTGTGTTAAAGGGATCCTTTGCACCGTAAGGGAAAATAAGCCTAAATACCCAAGCCTTATATGCACAAAAATGGCTGAATCTTTCAGTTTTTGTAGAGTTTCTCCTGAGCATAGCTGTAAAGCCTCCAAACTGCCAATTTGTTAGCAACATTGAAGTCCCCTTTCTGGTTTCTCTCTAGTCTCACTTAAATTACACAGTAACACTCAACAAGACTGAACTATTATGCAATAATCATGCACCTGTATCCAGTTCTGCATATGCATTGTACATTAAGTCCCTAAACAGGTACACATAGGCCTTGTGGGATAGTAAGTGTTTTTTTGAGTATTTGCTTTTGTTCATTTCTTTGGACTGTTTATAGCTGTTCTGAACATGGTTCTATATCACTGGGAAGAAGTAAGTTTTTAACTGAGTTTAGATTGTGGTATTTTAACTGTTTTCATCGTAATTTCACTTTCAGTCACATGCTGCAATACTAGTGAAGCATTGTCACTATGTGGATGATCTTTAATCCAATACTATACTGTAATCTGTCTGGAAAATGCCAGAAGGTAACTGAGACTCATCCTATTGTATAGAAGGACACTTTGCAGCTTCAGCTTCACTAAAAGCTGGGAAAAAAAAACAAAAGAGGAACATACAATAAAACAAAACCACAAATAAACAAACAAACATACAACAACAAAGATACCCTTGTCTTACCAAAGGGAAATTCTGGAAGATCAATAAAACCCTGCTTTCCACAATCAGGTGTATGGAAAGCAAGTGGTTGGGACATCAGGTGGGCTTTCAGTTTAGCAGCCTGCAAGCCCTCTTTCATCAGTTTCAGAGTTTCCAGGCAAGTTTCTGGATCAAAATGGCAGTTGACTCCAACAATAGAAGCACCTGGGAGGAGGAAAATAGCTTCAAGTCACATCTCCACAGAAAGTGGGAAGTGAAAGTTCTGAGCCACAGCAGTCCAGAAGCAGTATAGTCCATCTTTACACCAGTGTTATGAAAACAAGGCAGATGTGTTAGAGCTCAACTCTGCTGAGGTTGATCATTCCGTTTGCATCTCAGTTGCACTCCTCTTTTCTTCCTGATGATGAATGACATCTTCCCCCCTTCTACAGCTGCTTTTCTTACCAGTGCTTAATCAGTGAAGTCTGATTATGTACAGCCACACATGCAAATAGTTAGCAGGTTCCTAACACAAGTTCTACCTTTGGATTTCAACTCTGACTGGAAAGGAAAAGAGTAGTTCCAAACAGACATAATAAACTGCTGTACCATCATTCATCATGCCCCTGATTAGTTTCTTCTGCCTTTCCCCTTGTCCTGGGAATAGGCAAAATTATTAATTTTTTTCATCCTCTTAATTCTCTCATCCTGGATTTGAACTATGCTTCATGTATTTCAAAAATACATAAGCAGAGAATCAAAGGTGGCTTTGGATCCTGCATGTGATTCTAGAATTTGGGGCTGGGTCTGTAATGAAATTTGAGTAGGTTAAGGATTTTTCTGTATTCAGTATCAGCTGTCTGTGGCTATTGCTCCCAGCCATTGCACTCTGATTATCAAGGATTTCATAGCTGCATTTTCATCTGTTTTTACAAGACTGCTTTAGTAAAGTACACATAAAAACTTTGCTACAGAATCAAAACTTTTATCAGATATAATTGGGAAGCTACCTACTTCAGATACACATTCATTTATCTCAATAATTAAGGACATTACTTTGTTCCCTGCTTTTAAAGGGCATATTAAAAGAGATTCTTACCAGCCTTTACCAGCTGGACAGCACATTGTCCAGGGGACACTCCATGCATGTCTCCTTCTGGACCAATGCACATTGTAGCTGCAACTGGCTTTCCAGATTCTTTTAGAACTTCGACTGCCCACACGGCCTCTTCAACATGTTCAAAATACTGAAAGAAATTAAAACTGGACTACCTTAGTTTCTTGGCAATAAAGCATAAGTACATTAATCCAGACCCCAAATTCACCAGCAATACGACTTGATTCTTTTCTGATTTATACTAACATAATTCAGTTGAGTTCACTGACCACTCAGTTAAAAAAGGATTTTTAAAAGTCAGTGAGTAAAAGTAAGTTAAACATAATGATAATTTTGTTTCAGAATAAGACTGCCCATACAGGATTTGATTAATCAGGGATTAATCCAAGAACTATTTTAATCTAGAAAAGTCATCTAACCTAAGATGACTATGCTTACCACATATGGGAACAAATAGGAACTAGTTAAGACCCAATTATTATATCTTCTTTGTACCAGTGTAGAATTTCACTTCACTGAGGTAGAAACTTAGGTTTCAAGGTCCTATTCTAGGACACCTGCAGGTGGTGGTGCGCATTTAGAAAAATATCTGATACTACAGGGACAAGAGCACAGCAGAAAATTTTAAAGGAAGAAGCAATATATAGTTGTTTTCCCTAAAGTAAACTAGACATCTTAAAAGTCAACATTGTGCCAGTTGAAGGCAAGTACTTTTTTTAAAGATTTACCTCTGCAATTAGGAAGTCCACATTCTTCTTCATAAAGACGTCTAGTTGTTTTTGAAAGACTGCTTTAACCTCTGTTTTATTCTTGCAGCTTAAGTATGATGGTGTTTGACTGACCCCTCCAGCCACCAAAGCATCACCTTCATTAGCCACTTCTCTTGCAATGTCACAAGCAGCTTCATTCACTTTCTGGCACTGTGTGAATATAGATTATGTCAATTTTACCTGGTCAGAGATACACACATAATTTCAGAGCAAAAAAAAAGGACAAAAAGACTCAAAAGCCATAATATCTTTTTCATATTCTTTTATATTTTAAATGGATTTTTAAATAATATTGATTAGGAAGATCAAATTCTTTAAGAAAAATAACAAACACTAGGAAAAAAATTCTTGCCACCTCTAAGTTATCATATTATCAAATACTACAAAAAACACATTAATTTTAATATATTTTGCACAAATATTCTGTAAAAAGTGAGTATTTGGTGTGAAATGGAATTTTCTTTGCCTCTTAGAAAATGAGTTAGTTACCTTTAAGTGTGTGCTTTTATTCTGACACTTGTGGATGGAAAACAAAATATATGGTAATTTCAATTGATTTTTTTTAAATGTATTTTTGTGTTTTGATAATTTAAAAAAAATCAGATATAATATTCATACAGAATTATTTAAGGCATTTTTTAAAAGATATTGTTAATTATTTGATGTTAAAGTTACCAATTTAAGAATAATAGAGGGAAACTTATCAGTATTTGTGATTAATTAATCACTTAAGCTGAAAGACAGATTCCCTCTATAGGTAAATTAGGATGACCAGAACAGCTTTGGAAAAAGAGGTTAAGCTGGGGAAAAAAAAGATTTGGAGAAAATCTTTGTTTGGGATAGATAACAAGTACTGATTATAGCAGGTTTCTTTGCAGTCCATGGACTATTTAGAATCTACATAGTCTTCTCTCAGCTGATGTTTTCCATGGCTGCCTTAAAAGATGTAGCTGATTTTTAGGTCTATTGCTGCCAGATTGTCTTCCCTTGTGCTCAGGAACATGTTCAGGAACTCAGGGTGGTGGAACCATAAACCACTTAAATCCTGAAAGAACCCGCTTCTTGAACTGGTAGGAAATCAATTTTGAAAGGTTTGCTGCAATGGATTCCCAATACCAGGTGCTCTCCAGCCCTTATAATTTTGCATGGCAGCAAGAATTGCAGCATGGCTTGTTCTAGAGGTACTGTGTTTCTGGGACTACCACTTCAGATATTTCAATGTTGCATCTACTGAATGTAAAGATACAGCATTTCAGATAAATTTGGTCATGATTTGGTCATAAATTTTGTTATGACCTCAGTTAAACCTAAAGTGTTTCCCTAGTGTCCAGATTGTGCTAATTTCTGACTGAGGCTATCAAGATACAAAGATATTCCTTCTTCCCTGAGTCCTGGGGAATTTTCTCTGTTTTGTAGAAGTTTAAATGTGCAATAGGACCAAAGGGAAAGGATCAGAGAAACCCCTCAGTGGCAACTATTCTACTCTCAAAGGAGTTATCTAGAAATGCTTGTGCCAGAAATCCCACTGGACCTTGGGCCTGCATCTAGTGAATACACCCAACATCCTACAACTCCTTTTTGCAGGAGGTAAGAAAACACCAGCGTGGTACTTCTCCTGATGTAACAGATTATCCTTACATGGGACAAGAGGAATACTGACCACAGTGTATAGCTTGGATTTTTTTAGTTGTTACTTTATTGAAGATATGGTTCTAAAAACCATTTTGTTCTAATTAGCCACTCATTATTTGCTAGGATTCTTCACCATTTTTGCAGCTGATTATTCATTTGTCTGGATGTTAAAGCATTTCTTTTTTTTTTCCCCCACTAATTTTGCCTTCTGTGCATTTAGTCCTTCCTATAGTCTTTGCATCAAAACTCCAGTAAACCAATCTCCTCAGATGGGAAAAAACACAATGTGGGCATTCTCTTTACTCTCTTCATCCTTGACCTATTTTATTTGTGGGGAGGGGTGTAGTTTATTTTGGGTTTTGTTTGTTTTTTACTAGGCTGGTGAGGTTTTTGTTGGTGTGTTTGGTGAGGGGTTTTTTTTGGTTGGTTGGTTTTGTTGTTGTGTTTGGGATTTTTTTGTCCTGGTCTTTCTTGCTAAAACTGTTATGATAAACTATGAAAGTACTTGATAATCTCTCTACTAAACCTTTTGAAATTAATCAATTCGTTTCATATCGGCATCAAAAGTGTTTTACTCACACTTATTTTCTCAGCAACATAATTGCCCCTGTTCTCTAGTTTGTCCTCACTGGCGTAAAAGGTGAATGTCTGCAGAACATTGGATCCAGCTCTGAGGAATTCCCGGTGAAGCTGACGAACTGCAAAACAAGAGACAAAGAAGAGATGTCTGGTACACTTATTACTGTGTTACCCCAAAATGAAATGTTTATTGATGTAATGTTACTGTAAAATAAGTGATACTGTGTTTACTAGAAGAGCCATTATGAACGCAGAAGCAGTACCCCAGTTTGCGTAGAACTTCTTTCTACTCACTCTCAGAACGTTAGGTAGAAAACTTTCTCCTTAATTTTTCTTTGCTAAGAATGACTGAAGATTTCTATTTAATTAGCAGATTCAGCTTTGCCTGCCACCTTGTCTATCTTCTACTTTGTGCAGTCCTTCAGACCTCCCAGTTATAAAGGTGCACAGTGATTTAGGAAGGGAAAGCAGACATATAACAGAAGAACATGAAAGCAACAAGGAATACCAGACAAAAAGATCATCAAATGAAACAGCTGCATTTTCTTAGCTTCTAGACTATGAAGAAGAAAACAGAAGAAACTATTAGGGCAACAAATTAAGGGACAAAAGGATATTTATACAGAAGAATACGGTGTTTTATTACTTCCCCTATTTTGTATTTTTGAGTTTTCTCCCTTGACAAAACTCTAAAAGAGTCTAGTCAGCCAAAACCAAAGCTCTGTTTTGCTAAATACACCTTTAATTAAAAGATGATTCCTTGCTCCAGAAAAGTGACTCACAACACAAAGTTAATTCTTCTCATATGTCTGCAGACGATCATTTTATTACGGAGACAACATTTTCTTTAAAGGAAAGGTTGCCATTACTTTTAATGGTCAAATTTCCTACATTAGGACTTTGGGAGTAGGCTCTGCAATGATAGTTTGTGCCTTCCTGGCTGTAAGCAGTACACTGTGATTGCCACAGCAGGAGTAGAATTGGAACTGTCAGTTGATTTTATATGTATATCCACAGAATAAGAATTATAATAATGTCTAGAACACCACTGATCCTGTAAAACAGAGGTAAATGCTTGACAGCTTATACCAAATATAGGAATAATTTATTCCCTAGATACTGTACACAAGATACTTACTTTCTACATGCACAAGAACACTGCAGTTTCTGTGGCAGATGTTTAGTAAAGGTTTCCTGAAGACCTGATTTATCATAACTCATTGTCTACAGACAGTCTGAGTCATTAAGAAAATGGGCGAATTTGTCATGAGTATTAAATTACTCCCTTCTGCTGCAACAAACACAGTTTTCCACACCAGAAAAGCTCAAATCAGCAGTTTGAGTTGCAAGAATCAACTTGCATACATGCAGGCATGTTTGCTTTCACTGAAGGATCAATGAAAGTGTAGTGTCCTTGCTTTTCACTAGTAGTACAGTATTTAATTTCTAATTACAGCCTTGTAATTACCCCACTGTGATTTAACACAGTGCTCCTTTTCTCAGCAGTCACAAAGATCTTTTCAGGAACATAGGTTACAGTAGAGCTACATTTCAAAAAGTCCCTGAAAGTTGGTTAGAGCCTAGTAATGCCAAGGTTGTGGTTTCAATCCCTGTGGGGGCCATTCATTTAAGAGTTGGACTTGATGATCTTTGTGGGCCCCTTCCAAGTCAGAATATTCTGTGATACTGTGAAAAGCCCCTGGAATCTGCATGAACTGGTGGGATCAAATTTCATTCTTACACTTTAACAAAGAGACAAAGATTCATAATTCAGGGAGATTTCTTTTCCCTACACCATTACAATAGGCTACGATCCCAAATATAAGGGCTGTCTCTGTATGTTTCTAGTGCTCTGTAATTTCTGTTTCTATTCCCCTCAGTGAGAAAGCATTGATGAAAACCAGTCAGGAAAGGGAGAAAGGAAAAAATAATCTACAAATATTTTCATAAATCCTCTATGATGTTCAATAGTAGACCAGATTTGTTTACCCCCATGGTTGGTGGTCTTTAAATATGGTTCTAGCATTCCTAGAAGATTGCCTGGTATTTGTGTGAATAAGGATGGTGACATACGTATGCAAATCAAACACAATCTAACACATGGGATTAAGGAACTTCATACCCCAAAATATCAGATATGTGAAGAGGCTCTTGAATGGGTCTACATTTTGAGGGGAAAAAATGAGCCTGAATCTCATTTAACCCCAGGCAGATCATTTTTTACCAGAGGAATGAATGCACTGTTGTTGGTATCAAACCCACAGCATGATGCACTATCAAAACCACAAACCACTCGGTAATTTACTTGTGTGATTTCCAGCATGCTAGTGAAACTGTGTTTCCCTCCAGCATTTGAGAAATGGGGCTAACAGCCACATATGAGACTAAACCACTGTTAATAATCTGATGCATTTTAGAAGTCAGGTGTATAACATATAACACTAAGTTTTAATTTCACTCTGCTGTGAGTTGGACATTCCATAAAAGACAGATATAAGCTAACAAGAGATAGGGGCAATAAGCACTACCTGATCTGTCTCAGAAGAAATATTTATATCTCATTTCTAAACTTGTCAGTTTGGTGAAACTCCTCTCCAGTAGTACAGATAATGGCCTTAAACTCACTTTTTTTTAATTTTTTTTTTTTAATCCCTTGCTGCATTCTCAGAACCTCCCACTTTTTCCTTCTTTCCTTATAAAAACAAGAAGCTCTGGTAGTTTGTATGGTTTTTACATCCACTGGCTCAGCCAGTTGCTCCTTGTGTTCTTTACACCTGCTTTCAAAGTAACATGACCCTTGAGCAAAAAAGCAATAATGGAGAGGAGGCAGCCTCTCCTCCCCCTGCACAAAAAGCAGTGAATACATTTCCACTGAAGGGTGTATTTATAAATAGCCTGTAAGAGACATGTGGAGAGGGTCAAGGGCTTTTGAGGTGCAAAATAACAAGCAAAGGAGAAATAAAAAGCATAGGATAAGTGCTATGAGTTGTAAGTTGGAACGTGCAGAGGCAGACAAAGGTAGAGGTGGAAACAAACAGAAAGAGAGATAATGGAATTCTCTTTGGGATGAGCAAAGAGAGTCAGCAAATTAGGTCATCAATCCTTAAACTTTTACTGGAGCTCTGCACTATCTAAAGCTGTCCATAACCCTAAATTAGGCATGCTACACATAAGTGACACTTGAAGCCTCAGAGGAATTAGACTGAATGAATAGGCAAGGTGTACAAAGCAATGCAACAGGGAGAGCTACGAATCTCTCCCTCCTCTTCCTTCTTCCCATGTGTAGAAAGAAAAGACTAATTTGGAAGGGCAAACACAGAACAAAGAAAATTTTTTCCCCCGGGATATTCTGAATTGGCTTGTGGGATTAACTGCACATCATATTATTAGTGCAAATGCTTTCTTGTAATGAAGCATACATAAATAGTTAATAGCATCTGCTTCTGCACTATTTATGCTAAACACTATAATCTTTATGCTGGAAGGCGTGGAATAGTTGTTCGTTTTTTTCTCCATCCCCTTTAAGAGTGTTACTCCATTATCTGTTTATTGCAATTTTTAGGTTCTTATGAGGTCTATCGTTCCCCATGTCATACTGGAGCCAGAAACATTAAATACTCCCATTACAATGTTTATTAAAAACTGTTATTTCTCTGAAAGAATAAAAAAACTATTTTAGTTTATAAATATGTAAGAGTCCTAGAATGACTAAAACAAAATAAAACAGATGGTTAACTGCAGAATTCTTTTTCATGAGATGTTATAAATCATAAGCTTTAAATTATCAGCTCTAGGACAGACTGGACAAATTCATAACTGAGAAAACACCTAATGTTATTAAACACAAATGTAACCACATCTGCAACAAAAAGTCCCTGAGATACAAATTATGGAAGACTGGGAGAGCATTTTGAAGAGGTATCACTACATGTTTGCACTATTCATATAAGAATATGAATATAAACCCCAGTCAACTGCTTTTGGCTAGTGTTAGAGCAAGTAAAAGGGGTAAGATGTGCAGTTCCTATGCTGTTCTTAACAATGTAATTACACAGTGTCAAGGAACACTCCTATTTGAAAACCTACTATGAGTTCCTGTATAGTTACTATTGAACCAGCCATGTTTACATCCACTACAGGAATACTATTTCCTAGTAAAACTGACCTGCTTCTGGGTGTTCTACAGTTGCTTCAGGAGTCCAAGGCCCAGCTTTTACATATCCCCTCTTTTCAAGGGCAAAGACAAATCCTCCATCTCCAATCACAATTTCTCCAGCATCCAAGCGCTCTAGAATACCCTGAAGAAAGCAGGAGGAAATATTAACAATTACTGTGCTTCAGTTTTGTGGCCTTCCTTTGTCTTTGTTGCCATTTTCTGTATTTGCAAAGCAGACATAAATACTTGCGGGCTACCAGAAATACTTCTGCTGTAATAGTAAAAAGTAATAAATTTCCTTTTGAAATTATCTTTAAAGAATGGTATATGTGCTCTTTTGCAGAATAAGGCTTTAATATGTACACATTTATTATGTCTTTTCATTAGTCAGTTGTACCGTATTTCAGAGATACAGTCCCCAGAACTGGAAGTCAATGGTCCAATTTCATTCCCATGAAAGTAAAACAGCGTCTCAAAATCTTCTGT